AGACAATACCTATCTTAGATCTGTTGAAATCTCTAAAACATGGTAGGTACTGATAAGTGTTTATGGATGCTACTGAAATGGCAATTTCTTTCTGGCAGCGTGCCCATTATTATTGGTGGCAAATATTTCTGGAGTTAGGCCATTCAGTGTTTGTTGAGAACAAGTGTACACACAGTCCATATTTAAGGAATGAAAGGAGAACAACCTGGCCAGTAGCGTGGGGCTAGTGGGATGTGTGAACATAAATTTGGTATATGCAAGCTGTAGCCACAGAGTGTGCTTCATGGACTATGGAGGAAGAGATTAGGGATAAAAAAAACATTTCTTCTCAACTCCAAAGACTAGCTGTAGTTCAAATAAAATGCTGTTTAGCGCCCCTAGGCAGCTGTGCCAGACATCTCTTAGCCCTTGAACTATTTAATGTCCAAACATTCAAGAGTATGAAAAAAAAAAAAGTGACAGGAAAAAATCCTCATAGAACTTCCTGTGAAAGGTCAAAGTTTAATCACTGCAAATAATGCAGATTTCCCTTTTATTACAGCTACAATAGAAAGGCAGGGCTTGTGTTTACAAAGCATGTTGTTTGGGAGACTTTTGTAAATTGTAATCTTTGGAAATCCCAAACCTATTGGATGTAATCCCATCCATTAGATGAGGGCAACTTGCCTATGCAATAGATCCAGAATAGCAAGTTAAATGGAGAACATGAACAGGAAGCAGTCATTAAGAATTACAATGGGTAGGATGCAGAGTTAATTCACGGAGATATTTTGTTATGAGATAATTACATCACTGGGACAGCTGGAAAGCTGAGTGCTCTGCTGGACCGCAGTGCTTGCTCTCTGCCCTGCAGCTGGGGGGTCAGGACAATAGAGACAGGGAGAGAACTTGCTTTATGGGATAGTTAGGGGCTTGGCTGACTTAATTTTGAGATGATAACGTATCTGCCTTTTTTGGATTGCGTTTGCACAGCTAAATTGGATTCATGGACTTAGTAAATGCTGAGAACCACTTTTCACTCCTACGTTTTGAACACTCACTTGGATCACATTAAGCTAAGCTCTAATGGATAAATATTGAATGGTAGTTTTCATTTCCTCTAAAAGTCATCTGAGATAGTTTGTTCATATTCAACACAGTGTGATTATATGGAACTGCAGTCATGCAATCATTGAAACAGGGTATTTTTGTCAGTTTACTGAATAGTAAAAAAAAAGTTTTAGAAAGTTTTAAGATTCCTTGGTCAACACAAGGAATCATACAATGGAAGTTATTTTCCAGTGTTTATGTTCAAATGTCCAGACCTGTCTGGCTCTTTTGTTTTGCAAGTATAGGGGTTATAGGCAGCTTGGGCACATTCCTCATTGATTTATATAAATATATTACAGATTGTTAACCTCCTGCCAAATACCGGGGATTTCAGTTATTGTTCAGCTCAGTTGCTTTATGTGAGACTTATTTGTTACATTACAGCATCTATCTTCTCTTTATTGCCCACCACAGTGACTATTATTTGGTTTGGGTTAATTCCAAAGGGAGTCACTGTAGACAAAAAAATATCATAAATATTATGTTCTAAAATTCCTAAGGTTAATATTTATCAAAATGTATTTCCTACCCATTATGACTAACATAACTTAATTTTTACTGTGATGATGTTTTACTAAACAGTTAAGTGAGACAAAATTTCATATTTTAGGGTAGAGCAATATTTCCCAAAATGTCTTCTGTGGAGTTCTGGGTCCAGAGGATGTTGGTGGCCATCATGGGAACCCAAAGGAGGGGTATCCTGCAGTTCTTCCTAGGGCTTTTACTTCCCTTCATGTCACTTGTGAATTTCTAAGGAGAATATAATATGCTCTGTTTCCCAAGTGAAGTTAATAATGGCACCTTAAAAAAATAAGAATAGGGGCTGGCCCCGTGGCCGAGTGGTTAAGTTCGCGCGCTCCGCTGCAGGCGGCCCAGTGTTTCGTTGGTTCGAATCCTGGGCGCGGACATGGCACTGCTCATCAAGCCACGCTGAGGCAGCGTCTCACATGCCACAACTAGAAGGACCCACAACGAAGAATACACACCTATGTACTGGGGGACTCTGGGGAGAAAAAGGAAAAAATAAAATCTTAAAAAAAAAAAAAATAAGAATAATTATCTCCTTGAACTAGCATGAGCCACGTCTACCTAACACCATTCTTTTTGTAGCTTGGAAGAATATGTAATTATATACATTCAATTTATACAGGAATGTTCTACTCTATGTACTGTCACACATCTTTTTAAAATTCCGCTGTTTAAAAATTGCCACTTTTTAAAAAATTTTTTAAACTTTTAAAAAATTGCCAACTAAAATTACTGCCTCTTCTCCATGCTTATCATTTGGGGCAGTTGGCAATGATTTCAGTGAGCTCGCTTTTGCACAACTCGTGTGTGGAGTCCAGTTGCTGCAGGTGCTTAAATGGTTCCTCTGTGAGCATATCTGCTGGGCAAAAGCAATCAACAGCAGCAGAGCAGACTAACCCCTCTCCCAAGGAGCCATGCAGCTTCCTCTCAGGACTCCTATTTGAGGTTCCTGGTCTGACTGCAGAAACTTTATATGGAGAAAAAGTAGAAAAAGGAAGAAGACAGACAAGTTCCTTGCCAACAGGAATACAGAATCTGGATTGAGAAAGGACTCAATGGGTAGGAGGAAGTGAGGAGGCAAGGAGAAGTATTTAAAAATAATACAAATAGAATAAAATATAATATTTTGAAGAGAGTGATAGAACTTTGAGAAAAATAACTTGGATGGGTTAGATGTGATTCTTGAATTGTGTCACACAAAGAGTGTTTGAAAACGGTTTCAGTGAGATGAAGCAACATAGCATGCTGCCAGGGTTGTTAGGTAACTAACAACGGTTTGGGAGCAGCAGTGTTTTATCGTCATTTCATTCTCCAGTTATGTCTCTGTCAAAAGTTTTTTTCTTATGGAAATTGCTAAAATGTCTTATATATTACAAACTGTAAGTGCAGTAAGAACTGGAGTTACTAAAATCATTGTTGACCCGAGGTAGTCATATACAATGTATTTTTTAATTAAGGAAATTTATTAATTTTAATGGAAAACATTTTTAAAATAATGTTTAAGAAGCACAACTGTAATGGTGCAGTTCCCACATTTGTATTTGATTTTAGTACATGCCGTTTTTGGTTCATTGCTGTTATATTTTATTACAAAAATAGAAGCTACAGATATAAAGAAGCTTGGTGATTGTGGAACACCTTTTTCTTCTTCAAAAGGGAGAAAAAAAGTGAAGCTGTGAACGTATGTTGGTTTAATGGAAAAAAAAGAAGATGGTTCAAAGGAGCCTCTGAATTGATGGTAGTTACCTCAAATTACCAAATTGAAAGAGGTGTTTTGATAAACTTCCCAGGTGTCAAATCCATGCATGAGAGCAATCATAGTTTTCGTAGTATGGTGTTCATATGATTTATGGCACTATCTTTAATAATTTATTAATTAGGAGTTTTTACTTTATCAATAATTTTCTAGAATAAGTCCTATTAGTGACATTACAAGAGTTTAGAATTTCGAAAAAGTTGGTTAGAAGTAGGTGATATTTGGAAGTAGATAAAAGTGCGGAAGAAATCCAGTTGATCTTAATTGGTTTTAATGGAGCTGTAGAACACACACCAAACTGCCCGTAATTAAAAAGTAGTTTGGATCTGGCTGTGAAGTACGTGTGGTTGTTGGTGGTGTTCACCACACCAGATTTAACTTAATTATAGTGTTGTTTAGTTTCTTTTAAAGTTTAGTTTAGATTCACAGAGAAGCACCAAATGTTGTGTGGCCCGTCTAGCCCAGAATGCAGCAGGGTGGCACCATGGACGAGCTAAGCATTAGACATTTAACAGAGGTGAGATACAAAGTGGGTAACTGGGAGTCAACCCTGCATTTTAGTAATTGGGTTATATGCATATTATAGTTAGGTTCTTTGAAGAGAGTGTGTATTCAATTTTTAAAAGATGAAAGAAAATAATATGAATAGTATTTTATTAGCCTTTTCTTAGTATTTATAATACATTCTTGTCAAAAAAATTTATTTACAACTTGTTTATGGGTGGTTTGTGTAATTCTTCAAACAGTTGTTGAGCATTCCATGTGCCAGATAGTATGCTACGTATGGTTGAAACTGAACAAAAATGTGTCCTTGGGCTCAAAAATTCTTTTTACTACTGAGGGGTTTGTTTTTAAAACTGAAAATTTGAATTAATTGTGGGGTTTTACGGAAGAAGTTGGATTCACTCATCCAAACTTACAGTCTGCTAATCTGTGTTTGTCATTTAAGGGTGATATAGTTTACCATTGCAGCTTCAAACCCCTCCCCCAAAAAGAATGTTAAAATTGCACAGTTTTGATTAGTATGATATTTGGAATTTTAAAACTAAGAATTTATGCCCCTTCCGGGGAAATGGTTTGATTCACCAGGATGAGAAGTCTTTTTTAGCAATAAACCAATTTCTCCATATTCCATTCTACTTATTTTCACAGGCATGATTTTAACACCTTAAATTCCAAGAAAATCTTCACTGCAGAGTCCACCGTCTGCAAAGAATGCTTAATTTGTCTTTTTAATGATTCTCAAACTGTGAGCTAAGAAGAACCGTATTTTTCTTTGACTGCAGTTTTAAAGCTATCTCTGTTGGCAAGTTCTTCCTAAGGTCTTCACTAAGGAAATTCTCCAAGCAGATGTTCTCATGCTCCAGTTGTGTTGCTTTCTCTTTGCTGCTGTGGATTTTGTAACCACTTAACCAGGTCCTCCTTTCCTGACCGTTCATACTCATATAAAAGCATCAGATCCCATTAGGTATCCTTACCTATTATCACAAGGAATGATCAGCACTAGTTGAATTTTTTTTTCTTTTTTTTCCTGTTATGTGATCAAATTGAAGGATATGTATAAGACATACAGGTTACTTTTTTGCTTACTGCCACCTACTTAATATCTCTTTCCTTTTTCTTTTAGGTTGTTTGATGTGTGCACAGTGTCACGAACAGACAGAGAAACCAAACTAACATTAGTGTTTGAACATGTTGATCAAGACTTGACCACTTATTTGGATAAAGTTCCAGAGCCTGGAGTGCCCACTGAAACCATAAAGGTACCACGAATCATCTTTCTGCCTGGTCAAACAGTCACACTATTATAGTTTATTAAGCAGTGGCATTCCTTCCCTATGAAAATTGCCAGATTTAGAGCTTTTGGAACTTAATATAAAGTTAAATATATCTAATATAACTAAGTGGAATGTTTTCAGGATGGGATATAGTCTAGTTCATTAATTTTAGGGCTCACTGGGAAAACCCTTTAGTTCTAATACTTATTAAAATTATTGAAAATTATTTACTTGTCCTTATCTGGCCCTAACCTTAGAAAGTATAATGTAGTAAATAATAGCTCAGACTTTTTCCGACGGTTCATAGACTTTGAAGGATATAATTTGAAACATCATCCATAAGCACACTGAATATCCTAATTGTTTACTGGTTCTAGGACATACCTGTGCTATATAAATCCGAAATACTGGTTGTTAGGCCCTTCTTTCTCCATTTTTTCTCAATCACAACATTTATAGGAAGCCTAAGTGCCAGGTACCACTCCAGATTTTTGGGATTCAAAGATAACTTAAGACTTCTTAGAGGTCAGCAAGCTAGATACAGTGTATTGACTGGAAGTCCATTCTTCCTTTAAGTCTAATGGAAAAAGCTATTTATAAATCTGTTGGTTGTATTTCTGTGCTGCTTAATTGAACTTCCCAGCAGATCTTTTAAATCCATGCACATCATGTGCAGGTCTTCATAAAGACCCTTTTGTTTATGCAAATTAGCTGACTTAACTAAACAGACTCCTTCCTTACCTTATCATTCATTGTTTAGAAATGAGTTACAGAATTCAGCGTTACTTTAGATAGGAGTTCCTAGATAAAAATAGTTTATCTTCTGAACAGAGTAAGAAATGTCTTTTACTGATGGTTACGTGGTGTTCCCAGATACTGATACATTTAGAATTTGACATATTGACTGATTTATTCCTTTGGTTTTAGACTAATAAAGGATTTATGTTCTCCCACCTGGCTTTCATAAGAGAATATGCTCCTCAGTACTGGTCTCGTTTCTTCTTGAGCTGTTTTAAGAACACTCAGGCCCTTTAAATGTAGGCATTCCTAGCTACCTATTCTTGGTACTCTTCTCTTCTATCTCTGCACCCCTCTTTCCTCTCAAATTCTATTCCAGTCCTGTGTCTTCAGTCTCTCCTTTATAAGTTTGTCCAAAACTCAACGTTCAGCATGCAGGGCAGGGCATAGTCCCTTTTCATATACTCTGTTTTCTGGCCAAATTGTGCTAATCCCTATTCTCTTAGTGTGGCTCATAATTTCCAACTTCTGTGGCCTCCTTCTCATTGCCATTTCTTTTGCTCCCCACACCCCTGCCAATAACTACCTGCCTAAATTTTTCAAGGCCCTCCCCAGATAGCATTTGATCAACTTTTACAGCTGGGTGTAATCTCATTTGTCTTATGGCATTTGTTCTACATATTTCTACCTCTTTATCATGTTTTCTATCTCATTTGTCTTATGGCATTTGTTCTACATATTTCTACCTCTTTATCATGTTTTCTACCTTTAAATTGTGATTATTTGTGTCCATATCTTGCCTTTTCCTTCAGCTTTGTATCCTGACAGTCCCTATACAATGATTTCTACACATAGGTGCTCAATAAATAAGACATATTGCCAGCCTTTCTTCAGATATATAATTATTTCCAAGTTGTTTTTAAATGACTTCCAACAGCTTAAACATATACTGTCAAAATAATCATCAGCTTCTTCTGATTCAATTCTAAGTTCAAAATTACTGTTTTTGGCGGGTCATTTTTTTTTGGGCAGTGAGACAAGATAACCATGTATTTATATCATACATAGATGGTATACTGCCTATATAGATGTTCTGCACTTCACATTAAAATCTCCTAGGATGTTAGAGGCTGCAGAGTGTAATTGTTTGCAAAAGTATCTGTGTAGTTAAAATGATTGATAAGCCAGGTTTGATCAGGAAGGAGTAGAAATGAAGTGGGGTCGGGGGAATTCTCAAGGGTGGGGGTGGAGGGGTAAGCAGGGTAAGATGAGGAACGGGCAGAAAGGTGGTCACCAAAGTGAGGTAAAGGAGAGAGAGGAGTGGGGGAGTGGCTGAGCCAGGGGTGATGGGGGAATAGTGCTTGTTACCAAAAGCTTTTGACGAGGTGAGATATTAAAAGTTAAAAGTATTTCTAAGCTTCTCATCTGTCTGCAGGAAAAGGAAATGTCACTTGAATCTGTGTTGAACAGGAGATTCTCCCTGATGCTCTTAAATTTCTTCAGTCTTCAGGGCAGCACCCCCTCTGGTCCCTGTAGGGACCAAGTTGGCTGGTGTAAGGGTGGAGGTGGGGACGAGGAGCTCCGGTTATTTAAGGTTTGCGGTTAATGGTGTATTGATATTTTCATAGTAAAATAAAACTATGGTCAACTGAAATATTGCAGGCAGTTAATTTCTATGTTAATAGTTAATTGAATATTTTTTGCTAACTTAAAAGTTAATCACAAAACTATTTTTATTTTCATCCTTAATTTTTTTAAATTTTCTGAACTATTCTAATCTATTTTTCTTCCTTATTCAATGTAAGATTTTTTTTTTTTATCATTTGAGTGTTTGTGATCTTTTAAGGTCATTATTTAAAACATGAATAATAATTTAAAAGCATTATAAAACGATCGAATGTATAGTTTTAGGCTGAATATGTAATTGATACAAATTTATTTTTATTAAACACTTGTCTCTTTTTTTCCTGGGATTGGCTTCTTTTTAAGAATTGATTTGCAGGATAAACATCTGCTAAGTGGGAGCTTCTGGCTAGTTGAGGTTCTGGTTAATTGAGTTTTTCAGGCACACAACCAGAGAACAGAAATATTTCGTTGTTGTATGGGCTCATTTATGAGATATCTCAGTAACCAGATCAAGAGAATATTGTTATTATGAACAACCTATTGGGAACACAGAATTGGATTCTTTATATAGAATGTTTTGTTGTAATAAGAGTTTTTCTGAATATACTTGTACAAATATTTATTGAATATTTACAGGGAGAGTTTTCTGCTGGGCACTTGGGGACACAAAACTGAGGGGCTGGCCCGGTGATGCAGCAGTTAAGTTCGCACGTTCCACTTCAGTGGCCCGGGGTTCGCTGGTTCAGATCCCAGGTGTGGACATGGCACCGCTTGGCACGCCATGCTGTGGTAGGCATCCCACATATAAAGTAGAGGAAGATGGGCATGGTTGTTAGCTCAGGGCCAGTCGTCCTCAGCAAAAAGAGGAAGATTAGCAGTAGTTAGCTCAGGGCTAATCTTCCTCCAAAAAAAAAAAAACTGAATTAGTCACGAAATTGCTCTCAAGGTCCTTAGAGTATAAGAGAAGAGATAAAGTACACATAGAACCATGTGGTACACATTCTCTGTGGTTATTTAAATAGTTTAGGGGGCATTTTCAAGTTTATAAAAAACTTGTTTATGAATAAGCACAATGTATAGCTGATTCTTTGCATTTTAGTATCAAAATATTTTCTAAAGTGTTCTTCAAAATCATAGACATTAGTATTGATATTGTCTTGCATGTATCAGAACATGCCATGTTGCAAAATAGTTATAAATATGTAAAATATTTTAACATGAAATAGAAATAGAAAATCAAGAAAAGACCTCATGTGGCCGGCCTGATGGCATAGTGGTTAAGTTTGTGTGCCAGGCTTTGGTGGCCCAGGGTTCGCAGGTTCCGATCCCAGGCACAGACCTATATACCACTCATCCAACCATGCTGTGGCGGTGTCCCACATGCAAAATAGAGGAAAATTGGCGCAGATGTTAGCACAGGGATAATCTTCCTCACCAAAAAGAGGAAGATAGGCAACAGATGTTAGCTCAGGGCCAATTTTCCTGACCAAAAAAAAAGAAAGAAAGAAAAAATTTCTCATATAAGACCATTTAGGCTAAGGGAATTTTCCTCAACCACTTGTCCCCCACAGTGTTTTCTGTGACCCTCTTCACCTGTTAGCTCACTTAAATTCAGAATATTCAAGTGTATGTTCAGAACATAAATTGTATTAGGTGGGCAGTACTTGCAAAAAACTGAGATGCTCCATGATCTCTGTCTAGGTATTATAGAAGTAAAATCTTTTAGTTCAGTGCCATTTTTAATCAGTGTGTTTCTTAGAAAAAAGCCTGCGATGGGCTTATTTTCCCAGTTTACACAGATCACGTAACAATTTTTCAAATGCATGTAAATACTATTTGTTTTTAAAAAGTAAAAAAGGCAGAAAAGCACCCCTGAAGCCCTGAGTATTTGTTAAGGTTGGTAGTTGTGTGAACTCTTTGAGGAAATTCTGTAATTATTGTATGGTAGTCATATCAGACTTCAGTAAAGTAAGTTAAGAGCATAGGCCTAAACTGAAAATTGTCATTGAGAGGCTTGAGAATAAAATAAAATCATAGGTGATTCTTTCCAACATTTTTAAATACACCTTATTCTGAAACACATACATACATCTTATTAATACTTCATCTTGAGGTTTTCTTCACATTCTTTAATCTCTTTTCTTGATGTCCTAAAGAACGTCCTTTTTGTTGATGGTCACATTCACTTCAGGGAGCCTGTTGCCTGCTATACTGTGAAGTCATGAACACTCACATTTTACCTCATAGGCTTATCATTGCCATCTCTTGCTTTCCTTTTTCTAATTCAGAATGTTACCTTTTGATCTGCTTAATTATGGAGGAATTCAGTGCCATCTTTATGAATTTTTATTTGAGATTTGTTATTGTCTTCTTGCACCTAGACACTTAAACTTATGAGGCAATAATTAACAACTTAATTATTGTCTTATTTTGTTCTTTTAGAGTTCCTGGTAAATTTAGAATATCTGGGCTTATATAGCCCACCTTTATGGGGGCTTTCTAAGAAAAGAAAGGATTTCTGGATTGTTACTTTTTCTCTTTCGTGCCTTTATCTGCTATTTTATGATAGGGGATCAGAAAGAACTGTAAATAAAAACCCTCACCTTGTGCCTTAGTCATTT